TCGTGACATATCCCAAACTAACATCTGCCACAAGGGGATGAAGTTTTGAGGGAGTGCCATTTTGTCATGTTTCCATATGGATGAGGGTTTCTTTGGGCTTCACTGCTGGCAGAGGGAAAAATCCTTTTGCTAAGAAGCAAGTTACTCAGATCATCGTGACTCAGACACGAGGCAGAATTCAAATACTGGATTTTTGCCTACTTTAGGATAGGGGAAAGAATCACTGTCTGAACAGCTTGCTGGTACTGACATAAAGATGCACAGATATTGATGTTTATTGTCTCTGTGATTCTCCGTGATTGTGCGTGGTGTCATTACAAACAGAAGGATTGATTTTCTGGTTAGGTGGTTAAATTTGTGTATTGTAATTGCTAGGATAAAATATACTGACTAGATAAAAATCTTTCTGGCAATGTGCCTTGTGTTCTGATGTACTCCAGCTGCTAAGAATTGGAAGAAATAATTTCCTATGTGATAAGTACCCTAAAGGATATTTCACATACATGGTTAGATTCCAAAGGTAGACAACTTTTTTTTTTTCTTTGTAAAGTCAGCTTAAAACAAATTGTGCTACTCTTTGACCTTTTCATTCCTACATGAAATGTCATTTTCGCATAGTGCTTCCCTTCCTTCGTAGACATATTATTAGATTCCAGGGGATAGGGGGAAAGGCAATCAGCTGTTTCAGTCATGATTAAAGACAGAAATTTTCTTTCACAGTCATATGATTTCAAAAAGTTGTTCCTTTATTGTTTCCAGATGGAAATAAAATTATATGTTGCATTTTTCCTTCTAACTGAAATATGTAATTATATCTAGTAATGCAAAGCACTTTGAAAAAAAAAATATTTATAAAAAAGAACAGGAAACAGATGTTAAGCTTAGAATGTTGAGACACTGTAAACTACAATTATGCATTAGCCCATGATGTCCTTCAAGTTCTCTCTGGGATATTAACTAATAGTTTTATTAAGTGATGAAATCTAGTATTCTGTGCGCAATCTGTGGTGTGGGAAAATCTGTCAGCATTGACTAAGTATGACTGTTCAGTGCATAGCTGTAATTTAATCAAACCTGTGTGGTAAAGTACTTCAGTGTCGTTTTAGATGTAGGGAGGATAAAGGTAAGACTGGAACAATCTTACCTTAAAGCTCTGGGTTAGCATGTGATATATATATCACATGAGATATATAACACTTACAAAGTTTGGAAGAGCGATTTATCCAGATTTCTGAGGTAATAGTGCAAAATTTTTGTTTAGTTCATTATTCTGTTTCCTTCTGAACTGCTCACTCCAAGTTTCTGGTTATAAAAGGTAAATTTAAGAACACCAGTGGTACTTAAGAGTGAATGACAAACAGTGGCTCATCAGGTATTTCTATCTTGTGTTTGGTTTCTGTTAATAATTTCTGTTCTGCTAAATTCACCAAGTTAATAGTTATGATCCTGAAGTATTTGGTGGGAAACCAGTTTATCAGTAGGGCCTTTGATTCAGATCTACACCTGAAAATAGAGGAATATACTCAATAGGACTTCAGTGCTTAAAGCACATGCAGCATATTTTGTGTAGCTTTAGATATAGAAAGTAAGCAAAGAAAGGACTTCACAGTAGAAAGAGGTGTTTGCAACCTCCTCCTCTGTAGAAGGAGCTTTGAGTGTCCAGAACACACCTGAAGCCTGTGACCACAGTAGCTAGGCTGTATTAGGGTTTCCAGATACTTAATGTGTCGCATGTACATTTCTGATACGTGTGACAAGCAGTTTCCTTTCTAAAGAATGCAAGATCTTTGATATTGAGGGACTAATGTGCATCTTTCTAAAACAAAATGATGCAGTGGAATAGTCAATAATGTTTTTGAGCTAGTCTACTGCATACAGGGACCTGTAGTGACAATTGAAAAGTTCAGTTAATTAATGCCAGGCATTTTGTGTCCTATTAGTACAGAACCAAGGGAAATGACTTTAAATGACAACAGTTGTGTTCTTAATCCTGAAAGATAGTGACAACTGTGATTGCAGAAGCCATATGATTTCTTTTGTTTGAATGTGGGATAACTAGAAGAGGCAGTTCTGACCAGAGTCTTGTTTAACTATGGCTGCTGAACACTGTCGGTTTAGTTCCTCTTACAGGAGGCGTAGCTGACAGCTCCCTCTTGGGCACATCCCACTGAAGCAGATCAAATGTGAGACCAGCAGGATTCTGCGCGTTACCGTAAGATAAGCAACTAGTGGGTTTGGGGTTGGTTGGGTGGTTTTTTTGAGATCCTCTACATAGGAAAACACTTTTTAGATTTCAGGATTTGGTTCTCGCTTTTCATGCGTTGCAACAAAATTTTCTTTTTTTTTGTGGCAAAGAGAGGAAGACAAATGAAACCAACGTTTTCACATAACTAGAGAATTTCCTCACTTGTGACTTTAAAAACCAAAACTTTGTGGTAAAACAAGGTAGTTTCTCCTTCTTTACTACAGATGGTGTCTTCAACACAGGTAAATAACAACGTAGTTATGCTTTTTTTTATTAGTTCCTGCTGGCTTGCAATGTGTGTCTAGCTTTGTACACAATTTTGAAGTAGCTACTATCATGGAAAGAATCAATCCCTATTTTAAGGTTAAAAAGCAACCCTTAAAAAGTAACTGTTGTTTAGTATGAATTCAAAGGGGAAGGAACAAAATCTTAAATTTTTAAACATAATATTCCCTGTATTTGTTTGGGATAGAAATCTGTTTTTTTTCTATCAAATGATTCTCAGCCTTACAGAAGCTGTAATTAAATAACACTTTTGTAGTTAGAAATTCTAATAAATAGTTTATTACCTTCACAAAGAATTCACAAAGTGATCACATATTGAAGAGGCTGTTATTCAGAAGATGCCAAATTTGAGAGGAGTGAGAAAGAATTAATTTTTTTTTCTGTGTTGTAGGGTGAGTTATTTTTAAGAACTTGGCAGATTCAGAAACATGTTATGAAACTTGACTTTTATTGGTTTCTTATATTATAAATCTGTTTTTGAAGATTGAATTAAGTGCTTTGAACTAAGAGATAAGCAGAATAATAGGCTTGTGGTACATAGCTTAGGTTCTAGCCTTTTTGCCATTTCTCATATTTTAGAAACATATTTTATTACTGATAAGCAAAAAAAATAACAGATGACTACCAGGATGCTTCATATGAACTACGTTTACAGTATTTTCTAAAGCTTAAAAGAGAAGCTTTTTGTCACTCTATTTTACTGAACTTATTCTACGCTGTTTCATTTTGAAAATGTATTCTAGCTGAACATCTAAAATTATTAAGGGCATAGGCAAATGGTTCCATTTGAAATGGACACATAAAATTTGTATGGATGCATGGTGGCCTTTTCTTCACTCTTTTATTCATGAAGCCAGCTACCTCCAGCTTCCACTGAGAGCCAGGTTCATTGCACACAGCCTTTCTGTGCATCAAATTGTACGCCCTCCATTATCAGTATAGTTATTACTGTTATGTTTAGTTTACATACCTGAGATAGATATTCCACTGAATAATGTAACCACTTCTCTTAGACATTTATGTAATAGGTTCTTAGACAAAAACTTTCAAAACTGCTTTCAGAAGCAGTTCAGGTTTTGTACGTGTATGTTTGTCAGATGAAAGGTATGTGTTGAGAGCATTTTTTCTTCTTGCTCTAAAAATCAGTGCTTTTAAAAGGCAGATACCTGAAAATTAAAAGGCATGAGGGTGTTTACCTTCTCTTTGATCAATCTAGGTCAACCTTGTAGAAATACAGAGAGAAAATCTAGATGCGTGACTAATATTGCTGATTAATGATCTGGAAAGAATTTGTAAATAGTTGCAACTTAACAACTAAATCTGGCAGCAGTATGTGTTTTCAGACAGAATATCTATGCTGTCAAAGAAAACAGAAATGGTCTGAGTGAGCCTGACTGGAGCACGCAGTGTGCACATGGCAGAAGAGCAGGCAGTGCGGCACTCGGTCCCAGGCCGTGTCCTGTATGCTCACTGTGTGGGGAGAAAGGGAAGACCTTAAGTGAAAACCTGGTTGTACACGTAATATGGTTCTTTGTCCAAGTTCACTTAGTTTTTTTCAGGGTGGAGGTTAACAGGCCGTATTGTACCATATTGCACACAATCTAGATATTTTTCTGTCTTAGGTTTTAGAAATATTTAAAATTTCTTGCTAGACTGTATGTCCTTAATTGTGTAAATAATAACAATTAAAGAAATGTGACCACCATATTCTATGCTCCATCTCATGTTCCACCACCCTGCCAAGCCTCAACTGGGGTTTGGTTTGACTTTGATTTGGGGGTTTGTTTGCATTTTATTGTTACCTTTACTTTGTTTTCTTTCCGACCTTTGTATTTGTACAAAATGTAGAACATCCTCTGTCTCTTTTCAAGCTGTCACTCTGCTTTTAGCTCCCCCCTGATTAATTCTATCCATTTTATAGCCAAACACTTTTAATTCCTGGAGTCTTATCTCTGAAATAACACAGGTAACATACTTCAGACCAGTATTGGAGCAGGTTTGCAAATGGCCAGATATACCTTAAGTAGCAAATGGCCAACTTGAAGGATACCCCAATTAGAGACAGTGTCATATTGGTATCTGAGAACTTATTTGACTCTGACAAGAAAGCAGCTAACCCTTGCCATCTTCTGAAATGGAAAACAGCCACTGTCCGAAAGCACCGGTTTTCACAGTACTTTGCCTCTAAAATTTTCTCTTAATTGGATAACCAATACTATGTAGAAAACGTTGTCCCTATCTCAAAGGAAATGCAATCCCATAGCTTGCTTCTTATTTTCTTTAAAAACAAAACTGCTTCCAAATATTTTCACCTGTCCCTACTGTTTCAGACTGGGCCACTGCAACTCAGTATTGTTTGGGTTTCAGAAGTATTACTAGTGATACTTACCCATATATTAATTTAAAGGAGTTTTGTGTATTGTTTTCATAATGCTTTAAAGCTTTTCTTTCTTTTTGTAATAACTCTTAGGAAATGGCAAAGATTCTCAATCATCCAAGAGTATATGCTTTTCTGCACATACCAGTCCAGTCAGCCTCTGACAGTGTGCTCATGGACATGAAAAGAGAATATTGTGTGGCAGACTTCAAACAAGTAGTGGATTTCCTTAAAGAAAAGTAAGTCTACTAATATTTGAGAAAATAACAGTATTGGGTTTTTTGCAATGTCAAGAACATGTGGCTGAAAACACAATTACTTGCAACTTCATAATTAAGGTATGAAAAAGAATGAGCTGCTTTAAGTTTTCAAAGTCTTTGCATTTTCTGTAAGCCCCTTGATGTGGTTTGCCCCTTTGCTTGAGCTTTTATAAGCATCTTAAATCTCTGCCTGACATGCTTTTAATTTGTCAATATATACCTAATCTATTTCAAATAATACATTCTTAAATTATGTTTTTATACTTAAACTACTATATATAGAGTGCTTGAAGTTCAAGTTATTGAAGTCTTCTTTAATGTGGCTTTTGAGCATTGTATGCTTTGTGTACTGGAGATGATCCAGCTCCAGCAAATGTGAATGGATTGGTTTGTTGGTTGTTTTTTTTTAAGTAAGTATTTTATATCCTATAGCTGATATACATTTACATCAATATAGTAATACTCTAATCTTGCTTATGGGACTCATAATTTCTAGGATAATTTCAAAATTATTTCCCTTAACAACAGAGCTAACTAAGTGTGAGAAATAAAAGAGTGTATCGTAATGTGTTTACTTATGCTGACCTCAAGATGAAAGTTACATTTACCTGCAAAACTTTCGTAACTACAAGTAATAATTCAATGCCCAAGGAAGTCTTTTCTTAGCTTTTAAAATTTAATAGTGACATAAATTGATGGATGTTTCTGCACCGATTGTCCTAAAAATAGTTAGCTGGAGAATAATTTCTGTCACATTTTTTGGCTACTTACTCTGTCTTCTTTTTTTGTTGTTTGTGTGCTTGTTTTAATGAATTAATGGCTGTGAAGTTGTACCTTTCAGTCTTGAATTGCATTAAAATACTTGTACATAAGAGACTCTAATTTTGATAATCATTTTCATAACCAATTTTTCATGATCATTGCAAAATCCAGCAGTCTAGCTATGTAAAACACATCATGCAAGAGCTGCATGGGCATTATGATACGTAAAAAAGAAAATCAAACTGTGACACAATAGAATCTATTTTGCAAACTGTATGCGTGGTTTATAGGATATTCCTATGCATCTAAGACAACTGATAGAAATGGAGCTGCTTGTCTTCACACAGGTTGATGGGGCATTAATTTTCCACCCTAAACAATGCACATGAATTCTTGGCACCTAATTTTCATGTGACTATGGGTCAGTGTTAGTTTTAATTAACAGATATATTGTATTCCCACGTATCTTAAGTGGGAACTGTGTCAGTTTATGTCTTAGTTGACTTGAAGCTGATTCATTATTCTCTTCAGTAGTTTTAGCATTGGCAGCTATTACCATAACAGCAGCTGGATTTTCGATAACCTAGTATAGCTGGCACATGTTGGGGCATATGGGAATTTATTAAATCATTCAGCTCTTGCACACAGAAAAGAGTGAATTACTTAATATCCAAATTTGAAACAGCTGGTCATTGAATATACAGTAATCTATGACATACGTCTTTTTCCACAGGCTTTTTTGTAGTGAACTTAACAAGGAAGAAATAATTGGTTTGATGTCTTAATTTTAAGTAATAATAAACTTTACTTATCCTGCTTATTAAAAAACTACCAAATGATCTAGTAGTTCCTGTTAGAAAACAGTCTCCAAATATTAAGATGGAAAATTCTTTGTACCATATGGCAGCAGGATGAGGAAGCTATGCAAGGCAGAGAAAATGTTTTGGATATTTGAACATGTGCACATCTGTAAAATTAATATTTTTTTTCTTTTGCGCTTAAGAGCATAGTGTCTTCATTTGTAGTCTCTCCTCTTATGGCAGCAGCCAGCTATTACATTCACATATAGATATTCCCATAAAGATCTCAGCACAAAGTTTGCCAGGACTTAACATTGTTGCAGACAACTCCAGAGCCTAGAGCCAGAATAGCTAAAATTAAATATGTGTTTGAACTACTTTAATAGCCAAAAGGGATTATTTCCATCTTCCATTTATCAAAAAGGAAAAATAAAACAAAAGTAGAGCCCCCTATATCTCCTTTCTCTATTGCTAGGGCCATAGAGACATCTAGAAGCTTCCTGCACAAAATGTACAGGGGTCTTATCAGTAGATTCCTAATGACGTCTTTGTCTTTAAAATGTGACATCTGCTTTGATAGTATCTTCACGTAAAACTCTATTAAACCAATAATCGTATATGCTGACCTGCTGAAGAAGTAAACCCACACATCAAGAAATTATATGGTTATCAGTTAAGTGCTTAATAACTTGAGTTCAAACATATAAGCAAATAAAAACAAAGTACAGCAAGTAAAAAATGAAGGGAAAATGGAAAAGAATGAGCCATGTCATCTTTTTTGGTTTTGGATACCAAGTGATTCCTGAATCTTTTCTCAATCGGGCCATCAAAACGCCCTGGGACTTTTTTCTCCCAGAAGAAGGAGCAGATGCCTTTCCTTCCTCTGGAGAGCCAGGAGTGGCTGCAGAGGTATCTCCTTCCGAGAGTGAGTATTTATTTATATCCTGCCAGGCACAGAATGCTGTACAGAGAAGCTAGAGTTCTCCAAAGCAATTACTTTTTTGTGTTGAAACTCACTTTTTAAAAGAATAGAGCATTCTAGACCATCTGAGACTGAAGTTAGACATGTCACTTTTTTCTTCTCTTTGAGGACTCTTTTTTTCAGGCAGGAACCCTAGAAATGAACTTGGAAAATGAATATTGCTGTTCTAGTGCAGTCTTTTGATATGCAATAGTTTGTTTTTTAGAGCCACTGTCCCCAGTCAGTTGACAACATTTTTGGTTTATCATGAAGATCAATAGCAAAATGTATAGAATATAAAGCCAGAAACACAAATCCATTATACTGAAAAACTGAACTACAGAAGTCTTGTTTTATGCTTTTTTTAGAAATTCCTTCTTTGATATTTTGCATTTTTTGCACTGAAATTTCAGTAGATTCAAGTATTCAGAAAAATACTGTTGTGCATTTGATAGGTCAGTAGCTGATCTTATGGATGTGTGTGTGTATATATATATATATTTACTGAGGATTTATTTGTAAACTATTCTAGAGAGCAACAGCATAAAGGAAATGAGGATGCGCTGATTAATTTAAAAGGTGATCCTGTACAATTTGTACATAGTCCGTAGGGACTAGGGACTAGTGCCCTGGTCTGTAGGCTTTAGGGACTAACACAGTAGTCTGGAGGGACTATTTGCAAGACTGATTCCTGGATGAGATACTAATTTCAATGTGTTTGCAATTAAATACAGGACCTTTAGAAATTGCTGCTTAGTAAATTTAATCCAGAGACGAATTTAGTCTTATATCAGAAAGTCTTTTAATTGTGGTGTCATTATATCAAAATGTGAGTTGTTTTTCAAGTGATCTCAACTTTCAAGAATCAGCATAAATTATATTTCTGAAAGGTGATGTTTGTAGTTGCAAAAAGAACAAGACTGCTTTAATTATCTCAAAGTTTTGAAACTTAATCCCCTGAAATTTACTTTTGCTGATGAAAGCAAACAATTGGAATATACTTTAGTTAAAGAATCCTGAGATCTGAATGTCATATTCTGTAATTGCTTGAATAATCAGCAATGCGAATATATACCCATCGAAAAAATCCTTAGACTGGTAATGTGGTTTCCAAATCTCTTGTTTGCTGTTGTTGACCATACTATATTCTCTTACCTTTCTGGTTTGTGAAGTGATTAGAACGTTCATCAAAGTTTATAATAATCTTTCCCTATTACTTGATAAGATAAGAGAATTGTAACACTGAAATCTAGACAAATTAAAAAAGTGGGGAAATTTAGAGCTAGGCTGAAACACTATACCTTTCTGTTTTGGGAAATAGCATAATGCTGAGGAAAAGCTTGGTTTGCTTCACAGTTTGTTTGTGTTTGTGTACTGAGATAGTGTAATATTAATTGTGGGTGGCTGCTGCTGTTCACTTGAGATTATCTCATAATTCATACTGGAAACATCTGAGCTTTCCAATATCATTTGAAAGCCAGCAAACTTGGGCTGCCGGGGGAAGAGCCACAGCTCTGTCAGGCAGAAAGTTCTGTTCTTTTTCGCACTATTTCTCTCTTCTCCATTGAAGTCAGATGTACTAGTAAGCCTGTCCTAGCCTCCCTTACTTACTTTTAGTGATAATCAAGTATCAATTTTTTGGCATATGTAGATACATAAATGCATGCAGTTGGAAAAAGATACTAAAGGACCAAAAGTAAATGAGTGCAGTGGAAAATAAATCTCAAACTTGGAAGGAGGTTAATCTCTCAGGTGTAAACTCAGATCTTAGTTGCCCAGCAGTTACAGACAACTGCTGAACATCTGAAGAAACTGGAGATCTTGTCCAAATTGAGAGAAGGTGTTATAGAGTCCTTTGGAACAGCTGGCTTCAGGGAAGCTCCCTTCTTCCCTGTTGCTATACAAGGAGTTAAGACAACAAATGGTAGCTTCGGCAGCTTCCTAGGCCACCTCTTAATTCTGTTTTTAAGGATTTGGGGGGATTCAGCAGTGGCTGTCTCCTGTTTCCTTTGATCTGCCCTGACTTTTGTCTCTTGTTGCAGTGGCAGCCAGGCTGCGTCTGCTTGGATGTTTAGACGGGCTGCTTCAGGGTAAAATAGTGTGGCTGGGAGCAAAGTGGACTTAGCTACTGTCTTCTCCCAATAATGCTCTATATCCATGTTAGTGGATTTTTACAGCAATATTTTAAGTGTCTGAATGAAACTTTTCATAGCCCACTTTCTCAATATAATTTTTCCAGTATGTTTCTGTACGGCTGCTCTTGCCTTTCTGAACAGTTTCACAAGCAGTAATTTGTTTCCCAGGTTCTAGTCTTCTGTTGTGACCTTGTTCTTATTCTGGGCATCGTAAGCCATACCATAAAAGCTTATGTGGGCAATCAGCTGTTTATCATGGCCTCTGTATTTCTTGTGCAAGGAGGTATCTTGCCATCCGGAAGTCTTCTGCTTGAAAATTTT